TTTTAATCCAGCTTCCCTGCTGCCAGGGACGTCTCCTCTCAACTGGATCAGGCAACACATGGGGACCAAACGGGAATCGAATCCGCGACCTTAGCATTGTTAGCACCACACTCTACTGACTGAGCTAACAGAATCATAGAAGCGTTTCAGTTGGAAGAGACCTTCAAGATCATTGAGTCCAGCCTTTGTGCTAGCCCTACCAACACCACTAAATCATGTCCCTTGGCACAACATCTGTCTCTTAAACGCCTCCAGGGATGGTGACTCAACCACCTCCCTGGGCAGCCTGTTCCAATGCCTGACAATCCTTTCAGTAAAGAAATTCTTCCTAATATCCAACCTGAACCTCCCCTGGCGCAACTTACGGCCATTTCCCCTTGCTATATCACTTACCACGTGTGGGATGTGTCAGATTATATGAAGCCCTGTTCAGGGTTTTCCACCTTTTGGTTCGTTTTCCTGATATAAAACATGACAAATCTAGACATAAGACTTAAAAGCTCTTCCAGAACAAACAGAAATTATGAGTTATCCAAAGAAAACAAGATACCCAGAGACAAGAATTACAGTTAAGCTGCATTTCTAACTCAGTTTCACAGACTTAAAACCTTCGGACAGTTCCTTAGTTTTCCAAGACTGTCCTGCCTATTTCTATTTGTGCTCATTCACAAAACAAAAGCAAAGAGATCTGGTGAAAAGGAAGAGGATGATCACTAATACAAGTCCAGCCACGGGCATAAACAAATCAGTACCACCTGCTACTGCTATCACTGGGGTTTTTTCGCTTCTCATAGTCACATCGATTCCAAAACTGCAGGCACATGTGTGGCACAGGCTAGATCCTACATCACAATACTGAGAAAGGCAGGCTCATCTGGGAAGGGTAATCTAACTAGCAGCTTTAGAGTGAATGGCTCCTTCATTCATCTGGGCTTCAGAACAGCTACTCCTCTGCAAGGAGAAACCAAGACTCATTTTCTCCTCGTGAATAGCGAGACATCCTCCAGACTTCTAATTCACTGCAAATTCACAGACAAGTAGGAGCAGCAATTCTGCATTATAAACAATAAAGAATTTAGTTTGGTTTAACTATATGACAGGCATCAGATGATAAGCTCAGCTTCTGAGTGGATTTTTTTTAATGAAAATAAATGATGATGCCTTTTCCTCTAGTTAAGTCCAAAAATGTTTAATTTATTTATCCACCTGGAGTGTTTCTGGTTCTATAACAAATTTCTTCTGGCCAGCAAGCATTCATGTTTAGTCATATTTTTAAGTAAAATTTCATTTTGTCCAGGGATTTAAAATTTAATATAAAGTTAACTGCTTTGTATTTTGAGGAATATTAAACCATGCTTAGATCCAAAAGCACGCTTAATTTATTTCATTACCTTATTGTGTTATCAATGTAAAAAAAACTTAGTTATCTCAAAAAGCTCAAAGAAATCCGAATTTTGAAAGAGTTGTTAGTTTTAGCGTAGAAACTGTGTCTCACAGTAGCCTCTTACCTAAAAAGGAGTGCTTTTATGGGGCTATCATTGTATTTCTTTCTCAAAAGGATTGGTCCAGCACTTGAAACGTTAAACACAGGCTGTGATATAATGGTCACCAAATCAATTCATGTTCCCTATGACAGAAATAGCAAATAGGCAGTGATGCTGAACTGATGCCTGCCTGCTCTATCTGTCAGCAAACACTATATGTTTGCACAGGTCTATTTGTTTTCCAAGGGCTAGCAATGAGTAGGAGGATCAGGATCAGTCTTATAATAAAATACCCTTATGGATTTCTTTCAGCCACCCTGAAGGCATATCAGTTTTCAGACTCATAACCTTGACAACATCCTTTTGGAGACTGATAATGCCACTCTTTGCTTGTCTTCTCACACATAGCTACTGCAGCACAAATAGATCTGGTAGTGCAGGCTGATTCATATGTGCATGTGCTCTGGTAAGGCACACATCACCATAGTATCAGGGTCCCCAGATAAAAAATGAAAAAGTCAAGTCAGAGTTCCTCTTGCTTTTTAGAAGGCAGGACGAATGGAGTATAAGTATGTGTGCACTCAGGAACTACGCAGGAGAACTCGTAATCTTGTCTGTGGCAAAAAAATGAGCTTTGTGTTTTGTTTTAAACACTGAAGTGCTTATCTATTTTAGCTCTTGGATTTCCTGAGTCTTTCAGACTGATGAAACTTTAACAATCAGCCAAGATAAAGGGAGCAGATGTGTCTTCGAATGAGTCTTCTCAAGAAAAAGGATAGACTTCACAGTCAGGCACCTGAAAACCTGTTACCTGAAATTCCAGTTTGTAACCCTGGTGGTTGCTCAGTTGGACCTCAGAGCCTTGTTCCTCACACACTGCTTCAGCCTCTGCTTGTCTTGCTGCTGACTTGGGATTTCTCTTTCCTGCTGTATCCTTGAAATAAGTGCAACAAGCCTAGAGATGGCCTGTCAGAGTCAGCTGTTTATATCCCTGCTGAAGTCTGGCTGGAGAGCAGAATGCTCATTAAACAATTTTTCACACACTGATGATCTTTCCTGCTTTTGCTTTTATTTTACAATAGCCTTCAGAAAAAGAGATGGGTTTAAGAGTTGGTGCAACTGATGCATAATATGACTAAGTCAATAGGAAAGTAAGGATTTTTTTAAAATGCAGATTATCGATCTTTGAAATAGTAAGGGCTCCTTCAAAGTCATCAGGGTTTCTTTTGTCAATATATTAGTAATGACTTCTATAAATGAAGATTAATGATGTTAGGGATAATTATCACTGAAAAAAACTTGCATATTTCTCAGTATTTGGAAATTCCACGTAAAGGTGAAAAGCATTAGGTCTTCCCTGACTGCACCTTACCTCCATTTCTGCTACTGGAGCAGGGGGAAGATTTTTTCTGACACAACGGGAAGTTAAACTCCCAGTTTCTTTGGAAATCAGTGGTAGCTGAGCTGCATAACTTTGATTTGTTCTGTTTAAAATAATCCCCTGTATTCAGTGACTGCAGCTGATTTGCAGATCTACTAAATCCACAAGCCCAAATCCTTCTGAATACTTTTCTTTCCAAAAGGATCTGAACATGTACAATAGTTGCCTTTCTAAATGAAACACCCAAGTGATGCTTATTACTACTGCTCCCTGCAAGATTTCGCATCTTTTGCTAAAGGGGTGAAAAGTTACAAATTAAAGAAAAAGAACCAAATCTTTTTGTTAACTTGCAGGAATATAAAGAAGTCCCTACAGCTAATAACCTGATTTTGCAGTGGGTTTGTGTGCACATTTTTTTTTAGTCTAAAAAAAATAAAATACAATATTTCTCAAATTATTTCTGCTCTAAGGCTGGTGCTCAAATACCAAATACTGTCCAGATAATTAAGGGTATATCTCTGCTGAGATTTCTTTTGCATGAAAGTATCTCAAAAACTAAAATTGGTGGGGGATCATTTGATTCTTAGTTATGAAGCACTAATTCCCCCAACAGTCTTTTGGATCATAATGTTTCTATTAAATACTCAGTGACAGGTTTTACTCATATTTTTTTCAAAATCAATAGCAAACATACTTTGGCAAAGTATGAATTGGATTGAGGCAAACACAGCTTGACCAGGTTTGCAGATGGAATCAAAATGATCTGGAGATGGGGTTTTTGATTTTTAAAGAAATGTAATCAAAGTCAAAAGAATTCTGAATTCAGGCTAGGATATCCTGGCTCTTTTCCAATACACAACTAAACCAGCAAGCCACAGCTCAAATCCATATTCCGCTTTGGAAGGGGAATAAAGTCTGAGCAAAGTGTGTTGGCACGGTTCCCATCTGGCATGATGCCCTTCTTTGGTGGTCTGCAGGATCACATCAGAATCTGTTTTGACTGCGGCCAAATTGCATCTCACAAAAGGCTTTGTAGAAAGTGCCTCTGCATCCTAAAGTCCTTAATCAGTGATGTATTTTGAAAAAAGATATCTTCGCACAGCAAAAAATATCTAACAGCTAGATTTAATATAAAATACCCCATCATGAAATCCTATCAACAGAGGGAAGATAATCAAATGTACATGAATACAGAGAGATAAACTGTCTGGTGTTACTGGAAACCTTCCTCAGTATTTAACTTCTTAGCTCTCAGTAACGTTCATGTCCCACCCTTACTTTACCCAAGTTGTTGGAGTTTGTTCTGGTGTTCAGTAAGCAGACAAACAGCCAACAAACACTATATGAAGTTGAGAAGTGGAATTCAAAGTCGTGTTACACTGCAGATGACATTTCAAGTTGTATTAGCCTATAAGAAGATGTTAGTACACAAATCTGGAGAGCTTGTTCCTTGCATTAGGGGTTTACATAAACACACACAAAAAAAGTAAGAGACCTTTTTACAAGCTTCAATAAACCCTGACAGCTTCTGCTGGTGTGTATACATCCTAAGGACTGGAATGACCAAGAGGAAATAAATCTCACATTGTCATAAGCTACTGAAGTTCCTGGTCTGGTGTTAGGAGTAAAGCATAGAAGACAGACACTGCAAAACAATGGTCTTTTTTGGGGTGAGGAAACAATCACATTTAGCACATATCATCCATGAAGTTAGCCTTGACAGATAAATGCACACAGTAGCAGCATACATATTACTAAATATTGTTTCTTTCTAAGGCTCATTCCATGAATTCATTTGTAGTACACATGTGCTATGTGATATACCTACCTTTATGAGACAAGCAGTATTCATTATACCATTTTTTTACTTTACCATGGTTTTTTATCATCTTTTCAACTGTGCCGTCCTTACAAAATGGCCTGAAATTGGTCAAAACGGGACTGCAATACTTAAGCTATCAAGAAATTAATAGAAGTCTATCCATTGAAAACTCTCATCTTTTAGTAGTGATTAGTGGACCAATATCAGGAGACAGAAACACTCATAAAGAAAAAAATGTTGCATAGGCAGGTCATTTCTGAGTTTGTTAACAGAAGCCACAGATGTGACAGTAGAACAGAACAGAATTTCTTACCTTTATGATGATTTGCCCCAGATGCTAATTTCCCCCACAGAGTTACGACAAATATTATTATTAGCAATTTTCCTTTTGTTGCTTTCTGTAAGTATCTCTTATTCATCCTGAAAAAAAACACACAAAAATAAGTATCTTAAGACTTCTTTAAAAACATTTTTTGGTCTTAATTTAAGGAGAATTCAAAAAGTTTTTATAAGCTTCTGGCTGACAGCCCGTAAATCTTTAATTCTGCTTAGCTCTACATGAGGTATATCATACAGGGCATTAGTAAAAACTCCCTCCCTGGTCCGCCAGTGTTCCTCCACCCTGATCAGTACCAGGCGAATGCAACACCTCTGCTCATCACGTTTCTCCAAGGCACAAGCACTGTTCATACCGAGAGAAGACTACAAAGCTTGCAAGAAGGATGAATCCATGCAGCTATTCTGCAGGTTTTGAGGAGTAGAGCTCATCAACACTAGTGTGTTTAGGGCCAGTCACAGCCAATGTGGTCCTTTCTGACTGGGTAGTGGAGTTTCCAGCTTTTGAGATCGCAGCTAGTTTGGGATTCTGCCAACAAGTCATAAAGAGATAACAGATTTGAATAAACCTCTGACACATATACCAACCCTCCCACAGAGAAAACCTGTTAGGGAGACACGAGTGGTATGGGAACATGGACTCAAGCAGGGCAGATTCTCTCCCATCTACCTTTGTGTAATGAAAAGATTTGATTTACTGCACCAAGGGAAATTGCACGCAGCTACCCTCATCTTGCTCAGTGATGTCTTCACTGTGACAGCAAGCCACCATGGTGGTTCAAGCACAAGGTAATGCATGACTTACTTCTCAGTAACCTCCTCCAAAGACGTATTAGCCCTCCGCCTGCCAAAAAGACAAGTTCAGGAATATAGGATCTAGTGTTTAAAGATTACAGTTGTGCAGAGAGTGGCAAGAAGTATAATAATGACACCTTCTCTCACATTTCATTCTCTGTAGAAGAGCTCTAGGGAGTTGGCTAAGAAACAGCTCTGCACGATGGTCATGTTTCTGCTGATAGGTCAATAGGACAACAATGCCTATTTCAAATCACTTATACTAGAAAAGCTGCAAATTTGATTGCTTGAAGAAAATTATTGCTGCTTTGTAATGGCTGGAACTAGGGTGCCTTTCTGAGCTGAAAAAACTGCATTGTTTCAGTACGGTGGCACATTTGTACCTCACAATGTTCATAAAAAGCCCAAAGGGATTTGAGAGCATCTCTTTTGCTCTGTTCATTTACAACGCTATCTTGGGCAACCACAACTCTGTGAAACGCAGACTTCTCTAATGCAGAATTAACCAGGTCCAAAATTCCGAGTCTCTTTCCATTCTCTCAAAGCAGTTCCTTTCCTCTGAGAAAATTGCTTTCTAACAGAACACCACACACCGATAAGGCAACTCCCCACACCTCCCCTGCACCTCCACTCATGATTTTCAGACTTGCAACCAGACCACTTCCCCCCAAACTGCCAATGTTGCTCTCCAGGAGATTGATGAGATCTTGTTAAGCATCGGTAAGCTTCCACACCAAGTTGTGTGCAATGAAACACTAGAACTCAAATTAAGAACGCACTGAGGAGTGTATCAAACGCTTTTAAACTTGAATTCAGAGCTAACAGAACTCAGTATCCTTTGAAAGAAGTCACACATTTACAGTGTCTTTCCCAGAGGTTCAGCTATCACATTTATCAGGGAAAAAGAGAGAGGAGTAAGCGAGTGCTATATCCAGCATGGTGAATGTGCCCCTGAAAGCCTGACTGATTAATAATCACAGTGGAGGTCGCAGCGTGCTGTGAACCACACCAAGCTCTGCCTTCTTGCACTGATTCTGGTGCCTTTGGAGTATAAACTGCATATTCATCATAAGGTCCGGGTTTATGAAGCACTCAAAGCTAAAGGGAAATATATTATTTGTCACTGTAAATAAGAACAAAAAAATGAAAATGGAATGCACATTCAGCATATGCTCTTTCACAGCTAACTCTGTGAACAGAATATGAATTAACTCTTTCACTCTTGGATTCTCATACTGCACCTGTTATGATGCTGGTACCAAGTCATCTCTCATTAAAATCAAATCTTTCCTCCTTACCTACGCAGCACTGCCCAAAACCCAGTGGGACTTGCACCATTAAGCAGAGGTGAATCTAATATAGTTCCTTCCTTTACTCTGCTGATGCCAGATTCACTCACTGTGCTGTGAAGCTGGCAGAAAATGAACAGTAGAAAATGCAAATACATAAGAAAAAACAGTAGTATCAGGGAGAAAGAGAGAAAACCAACCTATCAGCCTGCGAACAGAGCCTCTCAGGGCAGGTGGCAAGGTGAAGACACAAACCTCTGCCCACACCAAAGTGGAGGAAGCCAGCACTTAGAAGAGACTGTTCTGCAAAGGGAAGGGTGCAGAAAAACTGGGCTCAATGTCATTGTCAAGTTTTCCAATCAGGAGAAAACCAATACACTATTTCTGTACCAGAAGCCTATCACACTACTCTGCATTACTTACTGTGGTATTCACTAGACCTGCAGTTGTGTGCGTTGGCCATGGCCGCTCGCAACAGTGAGGCCAAGGACAAACAAGTGGCTGCACAAGCACAAACACGGTATGAGGCACTCTGCTCCCAACAGTCCGGATATACACACAGAAGTCACGCTGTAGCAATACAGCCCTAGAAATAAAAAGCAAAGGGTTTGTAGCCCAAGAAACTCAGTGGGCTGGGATGGATGTATGAGCAAAGCAGGCGAGCAGATAGATAAAAAGGAGAGGCCGCGAGATACGCTCAGTATCTGAGTAAATGTATTATCACCTGGCCTCAGAAACTGTGCTGCTGGTTATTTTTTGTGGGTTTGCAAAACAGCCCATGATATAGCACTGAGAAGACACTGGAACTAGATAGCATTCGACCTCAGCTCTGAAACACAACTATTAGCCTCTTGCAACCCTGATCCATGTCAAGTAAGTGCATCCAGGAAATAAAATTCAGTCCATTACCGTACTGTTATTATACTAACATAACAGGCTGTGTTAAATAGAACAAATGAGATCTGAAATGAAGTCTGCTTTTACTAGAGGTGATGCAGAGCTCCATAGACAAACTATAGCTATTAACCGGAATGGATTTCTCTGTAAGACATTTTCTTCTTCTGTTTTCCTTTCTGCAGAACCTCTCCCTCAGTGTGATCTTTACAGCCTTCAACAATGCCACATAAGCCAAAGGTGATCAAAACTGAGAACAGCCATGCTATAGGAGATGTCTACATTTGAAAATCAATTTTACACAAAAATGAAAACTTTATGCGTAACGGAAATTTCCTGCAGTTTCTAACCCCAAAATATTGGAAATAAACCCAAAGAATTCTCAGCACTTTCACGCAACAGAGGACGTGAGATGCTGCCACATTTGAGTTCCTTTTTCAATATGCTTAGAGACAAGAAAAAGGAAAAATAACTCCTTTTGTGGTTCCAAGAACACATTAAAAATAAAACAAAAAGATGTCACCCACACAATTCAGACAGGCAGGGCTTAGTGTGAGATGAAAGGCCAAGGGATCTGGGGCTGTTTAGCCTGGAGGAGATTGAGGGGAGGCCTCATCGCTCTCTACAACTACCTGAAGGGAGGTTGTAGAGAGGCAGGAGTTAGTCTGTTCTCCCTAGTGGAGAGTGATAGGACGAGGGGAAATGGATTTAAATTGTGCCAGGGGAGGTTCAGGCTAGATATTAGGAAGAATTTCTATACTGAAAGGGTTGTCAGCCACTGGAACAGGCTGCTCAGGGAGGTGGCTGGGTCACAGTCCCTGGAGGTGTTTAAGAGGTGAGTGTTGCATTGCAGGGTATTGTTTAGCTGGTTGATAGGGCTGGGACAAAGGCTGGACTCAATGATCTGCAAGGTCTCTTCCAGCTGAAACTACTCTATGATTCTATGACTCTGCCATGACCAGCTCTTCGCTAACACCATAGCACGATTAATAAATTCACAGAATTTTTTACTTTTGTTCCATAAGATTCCTTTTGCCTTAAGTGCACTTCATGAGACCATCACCAGTCTGGTATTACAGACTCAAGGATATACTGTTTGGGTGATTAGGGACAAAAATAAGTTAAAAAATGCAGGGCTTTTTTCTCAGGGTGAAATCACATCTGATGTTGCAGAGGATCTTCACCAACTGCCATGCCAGCAGAAATCCTTTCCCTGGTCCCTGTGGCTCATCAGAATCAAACTTTGAATGCACTAATAGGTTGCACAGGCTCTCCTCATCACTGCTCCACCTCACTGTCAGCTCCCTCCTAACGGCAGACATGGCCCAACTATTCAGCTGTACTGAAATTGCCATGTGCACATGTGTGTTTTCAATTGCACTGCAGCAATGTAACATCCATAAGCTTTTGAGTTTCTACTTTCTTCCTCCTTTGTTTCTAGGCTTGAGATTATCCACCTTTCCAACAACTTGGAAATAGAGGAGAATCGCATGGGTATTACCTTGCATCATATGGCCAGTGCTAAATTGCCTTGCTTTCCTACTTTAAGTGAAGTGTAACCTCATGTAATCTTTATTGTTGAGAAGAAAAAAAATAAGGAAAAAATGGCTTTCATTCATCCCTTAAGAGCACAAATAAAATTCTTCTCTGTTTCCTAGGAGTAAAAGCATTTTACTCCAATGCTCCTTTTCTTTCTTTTCCTTACAAACATCAGCTTCTGTGAAGCTGTTGAAAATTCATTTGCTCCTGCTTTATGTATGTAGAAACTTTCAGTGCCAGTAAGATTCATTTGTCTTTCGCAAACATTTACACCCTGTGAATGCAAGTGTTCATAAAGAGAAGTTTAAACCTATTTCTCTACTGAATTCTGATGAAATGTTTGAGTCAAAAAATTGATAGTAAATTAATTCTATATTCTTACTTTTCTTTTAATGACAAATATTTTTTGCTGCTTCAGAGAAACCCTAAATGAGTAGTAAAAATCACTTCTGACCCTAAGTCTCTTGTACAGAAATAATGCAGCCATTTAAATTATGTCCCATACTGTGTTGAATCTTACATTATTTATTAGTTGTGATAGCTTCTACATCCCATACAATGCAGGT